GAAAGTAGTTGAAAATTTCACGCACCAGCGCATGAAAGCTGAATTCGAAAACCCTGAAGGGTGAATATCTTCCCGTAATTCCCAAGTTGATAGTTTACCCGTCAAAATCTTCACGAGGCCGTAGCTGATACCTGAGAGCGCGAGAACGCTGAATTTGAATGGGCAAGGTTGAGCGTGAGCGTGGGCAAAAGTCATTTCAGCCTCACAAACTCCGTGGTTCCCGAGACATTAATTTACCCGTAAAAAACTTTCACGGGGCCGTACGTGTTACCCGCGAGTACGGGAAGGGTTATGACCCGCGAGCACACACACATACACACATACACACAGGGCACGCCACTAGTCTAGAAAGTTAGCTTTACGGTCGCGATACAGCGTTTGCCAAAAGCAACCACTCGCTGGCAAGACTGTTGATGGTTTTCTCTTTCGAAGATTGCTTAGGGAAGCAAGCTGATGGCTGATTTGACTTCCTGGCGTGCCCCAGTAGCACCAGTATATCATCGAAACGAATGGGTGAATTGTAAAGAAATTATTTGCTCCACCAAAGTGTTACTAATCAAGATAATCTAACTGCGCTGCTTTCAGGCTCTACAGCAGTAGGCTGTCTCAGCGAAGTGCCAAAAAACAGGATTGTTGAGCAGAAGACTGCTGAACAAGATATATTTATATATCTGTATTTGGGAGAACGATGCCAGTTCGAATCGAGATTATTGTGGCCACATTGTTGGCATAGTGCTATTTGGACAATTACCCAGTAAGTTTTCATACTTGATACTTGAAACAGCTATTGAATTATATTCGGAACGGTGTCTACAAGTACTGGAAAATTTGGAATCCTACTAAAATGCTAATGAAAATAATGAAATTAACAGCCTTTTTAATAAAAGTAGGAGCAAGACGGGGTTAAACGTTTCTTACGGCACATGTGTAATTTGGTTGCAGTGTAGGCCACCAAAGGAAACAGTCGAATTTTAATATTTGGTGAAACTCAAAAAAGCCATTTAGCTATCTCAGGTATGCAAACCGGTGTTTGGAGTAGGCAACGTCTGTGTTTCATCCCTGAACTGTAGACACAGACGGCTGGATCGTTGCGAAATGGTGTGGGATTCATCAGTACAGTACCCCACTTCGCTATGTTGGAGGGGACATGTAAGTTTTGGTAAGAAAGATGAGAAGGAATAAAAATAAACTTATTTGTAAAAATTGTAAACTTGCTCGGAAGATAAACTTACGTGCAAGAGGTATGTTTCGGTTTCCGATTTCTTCATCGGTGGTTCTCCAAGTAGAGACAACAAACAATACAATTTTTTTTCCTAACTTAATTTTGCGCTTGGTTTGTTCAGTGCTGCATCGCCTAGTCCCAGCATAGCTCTACTTTGAATTCCTGTTACCTTCGTACAATGCTAGTAGCCCGAGCTGCTGACTACTTTCCATGATCAAAGGCGCGCTGCCCAGTGGTCACTTGGAGGGGGTTTGATGTATCTCTCCTCAAGGTTCTTGTTATCCATTGTTGCTGTGACATTGTTTACAGCGGTACTCCGAACTGGCTATTAATGAAATGTGCCTGAAAGCCGACATATCTGTACTAAACCAGGGCAACATCCGATGTGTTTATGACGCTTTGTTAACCGAGACACCTGCTAAAAATTTGCCCATTTTCCGAAATTTTACTTGTTCTTCCGTTTCTCTGGGATGAACACAATCTGTGCTCAGCTTAGCTACGCTATAATTTGGCTAATTTTGTTTAAACTAACTGATTTTCCAGTTCTGGCTGTTGTATTGATGAATGGCAAGGACCGGTCTTACTGCAACGACTTTATTTTTGCTGCGGGATAGAGCTCTGTGCGATGAAAATGAGAAGAAAAAAGAAGCTATCCGTTATCACGTCTGATTCCGGCCGCACAGGTTTTTATATGGTGCGATTTTTTCAACTCGCAAAGAAGCTGGTTGTATTTATGGATCAGTTTGCTGCATGGCAATGATAAAGTGTCGTTTGGCTTATGTATAGTTGTAATTTCTTGTTTTGTATGCGTGTGTTTTTTTG